TCAGAATTTTTCTTTGTCCCACGCTCGTGTCATGTTGATTAATTCATCTTCACATTTCATTACCGAGCTTAAAATTCACCATCTTTATTAACTTATCAGGATAGTTGAGCTTCACAAGAAGGTCATTTATTTACCAGAACAGATCACTGTAGCATAAATGTGACCACTGAGCCATTTAATAATCTTGATTATTTAATCCAAAAATTTATTGTCAATACCTTTGTACACCATCTCAAAGTTGAAAGGCTCTCCATCATATATTGTAATTAAATGTTTCATAGCAATGATTAGACATAGCTCCAAGACTGAAATACCTGAATACAAATTCCATGAGAGTACGGTTAAAATGTGCTGTAGAGGAAAACTGTTGTCATATCACACCCTTACCTCCTGTAACAGCTACCTCTCTACAAAGGCCACTTTCCCAACTGTCCCAAGCTGGCCATTGTGGAGAGGTTCAACTGTAATAGCAAGGTGATCTCCTTTATGATAACATCAGTGTATACAAATCCCACTGAAAATTATGAGAAACTGGAAAACTACAGTTGATAAGAATTTGTGGATTACCCACACTTGCTGATGAGTCAAGATTGTTAGACAATGAGCATGCAAGAAATATGACAGCTGTTGCAAAACATATACAGTCAAACCTGTTTAATAAACACACCAAATAACGAGGCACATCTAAGTTTCTATACTATGGAGGTGGCCGTCTCAAAGAGGAGGACATCATAAGAATTCTGGTATCGCTGGGATGAGGTTAACTGTTCTTAATATAGAGTTGTCTGTATCATGGAGGTGTCCCTAAGGAGTGGTTTGACTGTACTGAATGTGTCTATAATGTTATTTGAATGAGAGATGAGTTCATGTATTTATACTGTACAATCAAGTTTCTCTGCAACTAATTAATCGGCAGGTTGAGATTTTTAACTCATTAGCAACTGAAGGAAATAAGGAATATAAAAATTTTACGAAAAAATCAAACAACTCATAGAGAAAAGTTGCTGTACCACATAACATCGCTGCCTTGCAGTCAACACCAAGTTTTGTCTGTGCATCAACCAAGTCCTTGGGTTCTATGAAGGGATGATCTTGAGAAAGACTGCAAACTGGAATAGTCTGAAACATAAAAACAGGTTAGGTTGCCTTAAGGGCTGGTACCACACAAGCAAACGTCAAACAAAATTACTCTTTTAGCAGGGTTTGGAAGGGTATGCTTGGAATCTGGGATTTGACCAAAATATGGTATGGCATTTCGGAAAATGCAAAATATTTTGATGTGATTTGGGACTTGACTGCTACCCAAGAAGCGGGATTTGCCAAAATTTTGGGAATTTGGGGATTTGTCATGACCTAAATAAATGTTTTTGCATCCAAATGAATCAACAAGGAGAGCACTATGTGGTGTCTCCTGTCAGTCCAAACTATAGAGTGTTCTACAGAGTCCTGTGCTCTAATCATTAGACTATGGGTCTGCTACTTTTAGCACAGGACTCAAGATCAAGCACTCCTGGATTAAGCCCTGGGCAAAGTCATTGTGTTATGTTCTTGGTCAAGGTACCTAACAGTCTAACACTGCTTCTCTCCACCCAGGTCTATAAATGAGTGAATTTAATGTTAGGGGCTATTCCTACGATGGACTACCATCCCATCCGCAGGGAGTAGGAATACTCCTGGTCACTTCATGCTACGAAAACCAGAGATAAGTGCTGGTCTGATGCACCAAGATTATGATCAAAAGCAGACTTTACCTATGTGCAACAAGTTAGTTAACGACTATTAAATAAGTCTCTGTGAGACAAAGAAACTAGGATCATCTCTACTACCTGTGGATGGTAAATGTGGCAGCTTAAAAATAATGAGAACATCTCCATCAATACTCGGTCAACACTCCATCAGTATCTTGGTTGGCAGTCAGTGGAGTGTCAACTAATTTTCACAGGCACGCCACAGAGTGTAGATTGATTCCTACGAGCCGGTTGACACTCTGCTGACCATCGACCAACTGTCAACTGAGTGTCTATTGAGTGCTGATTGAGATGTCAATTGAGTATCAATCTAGTCTTGACTTAATATCAATCAAGATGTCGATTGAGTGTCAATCAAGATGTCGACTGAGAGTCAATCAAGATGTCGATTGAGTGTCAATCAAGATGTTGATCGAGTGTCAGTCGAGATGTTGATTTAGTGTTGAAAAGGGTCGATTGAGGGTATTGATCAACACTCGACCGCAGATACCTTTGGTACACATAATCCATACATTGTAAGCCAGACTTACCAGCAAACGGTGTAAGCTTCTAATGTCTTTTGTTATGCTGAATTGTTGTTTTAGAACAGCTTGGGCTTCCCTGTCTTCTAACAACTCCTAACGACACAATATTCAAAGATCTGCAGTTGGTAACACAAATGTGGATGTATTGATTCATGGCAAACAGAAAGACTGAGCCAGATAATTTTTGGTTTGAGGTCATAGCAAGACCTTTCTTTCTCACTGTTGTAGAACAGCTCCTTCATTTTACTTCAAATAATAAACTTTGCTGTGTATTGCATCAACTCTAAATGATTATATTTAGTGATTGGTAGTGGGTTGAAAAGATTCTAAGACCTTTACCTTGATATGAGAACTCCAGGTCTGAACAAAGTGTCTGTCCTTGAAGTTTGATGGTAATGTCAATACAGACCTGAAACATTTGAGGAGAATTAGAGAATTGAACATTTTTGCAGCAGTAAATGGATCTACTTTGACTTACCAACAAAAGAAAAAAGTATTATTTTATCATATATATATATATATTGGATAACAATGTTATCCTGGCTGGTTTTAGTTTGAATTTTAATTTGGCACTCAACGTCGATGATGTTGACCTCGTGAAGCTTTGTAAGCTTTCACTCCAACGAACGTCAAGGGAACTTTGCGTTGCTGTCTTACAAGCCTCGCGGAACAAAGTCGATTGTCTACAACGAAAGCTCCAATCCTGTAGGGAACAAATCTTCTCATCCATTAATTCTGGCTCTGCGAACTATATCTGGAATGGCCTGAAAACGGAAAACTTCAACCTACTTCGCATTTTGAAAGAACGCGAGCAAAGAAAGTTGTTAAAAACAATTCCGTTAGATCAGGAATTACTTTCATCCAGTAACACCATAGATCNTTCGTTTCAAGGCATTTACCTTGAAGGGGGCATTCGTCTTTTGTTCGGCAGTTGCACTGTTTGTTGGGTTGTTGTGTTGAGGCTGTGTTGTAATCGGAGAGGAGTGTTTTGTTGTGTGACGAGATAATGGATTTCATGTTGGGCATGCAGGAGTAGCTAAGCTTGAGCGTGTGTCTGTTGAAGATCTTGTTAAGTATATATATGTATATTGAATTCCTTCAACAGCAATGTGCCATTTTCCAGTTGGGACATTGCCATTCCCACCTAGCAAAGTCTGGCATAATTTTACTTCACAACATAATGCAAAGACACTACACAGTTACCACAAGCACAGCAACTGAGCTGATTAAATGGTCCACCTGAAACAATGCCTGCTACTAGACTGGACTGTTCTTATCACTAAAATAACAGTCTTTAAAATGTCATTCAAACCATTTTCCTTAGCCAACTTTCAGCTTTCAGCCCAGATGTGGGTCAGGTGAGTGGGATACTCAGACATAACAGTAGCAAAGAGGTGGAAGGCCTTTCTGGGGTTTAAAATTTGTAATCTGGGGGCCTTTTTCTGCATCAGAATGTTGATTTGTGTTTAACAAAAGGCTTAATGCAGGGGCCAGACAAACTGGACGTATGCTGAATAGCATTCTAGGCTGTTTAAAAATATTATTTTTAATTGTTTTATCTGTTATTATTACATGGCTAGCTCCATGAGTAGGCAAGATGAATCAAATCCTGTGCTGTGATTGGCTACCTGAGCGGGCAAGATGGAGCTATTTTGCCCGCTCGAGACTACCCACCATGTCCTGCAAGAAAAATTTCCCCGAAAGCCATATAATAAATCCTTTATTGACCAAGCTTGTTCGGTCAAGATGGCTGGATATTGGTCTCATTCTTTCTTTGCGAGTTTATGGACGGAGACGGAGTCGAGGTCCATAAACTCGTAAAAAAAGAACTTGACCAATGTCCAGCCATCTTGACCTCACACTTGGTCAATAGCCCATATTTAACTGTAACACTTGATATTACACCAAAGAGAAATTAACACCTTACTACTTGCAAATAATCTTCAAAAGTCTCCGAATTGAAAAGATGGATCTGTCGATGAGAAAACCTTGACTTCACTCTTTTTTCAAGCAATTCTACAACATCCTGGAAACAAAAACAGTAGCTAACAGTCAAGGAAATATACATCACCTTATGTGGGAGTGGAACACATTTTTCCTGTGATGCGTTAGTTTTAAGCCCGCTCTCACACATTTTCATTTCAAAAATTAATCTCAAAGATAATATATAATATATATTTCCCTAGGTGCATATTACACATAAGTTAGTTACTCCCGAGCTGCAGGGAAGCAACTCTTTTATCCCAAAGGTGTCTATAGCTATCCAGGTATTTGTAGGCAGGTAAAGTCTACGTACAAGTTACCTATAAGTAGCCAATCAGGCCAACCCTTATCTCTGGTTTATGTGCCCCCTGCAGGATGGGATGCCGGTCCATTGTAGGGTTACCACCCCCAGCAATAAATTCGCTGGTACCCGTTTATATATATAGGTGGAGAGCTAGCAATCCAGAGTCACATCTTACCAGCCTGCAAGTGAGTCCAATAACACATAGTGGTGTCTGGGCTGACTGTGACACATCAAATAAATTGTACAACAACGACTGGTTCTTGTGGTTTGTAAACAGATCAAACTCATCCAGAATAAACAGGATTGACTGACTTTCCTGTCCACCTAAAGAAATAATAATTAATTTATCAGGGTTTTGAAGAACTGGATAGAGGACCTGGCATGGGGGTGTTTGTATCAAAGGGGTTTGAGTGTCAAGGCTGTGGTCTAAGAAAAATTACACGGAGCCCAAACGTTCCTGACCACAAAATCCTGGGCGCCAAGTACTTAAGCTTATGTGAAAAATGTCAGTTTTTCCAGTTGTCCAAAGGCAAAAAAGTTAGTTGCCTGAGGCATCAGGGCACTTGTAGAACTTGCTTCCACAGCCTTGGATTGTATTTAAAATTCTGAAGAAAAACAATAACTGCAAAAAAAGTTATTGGATATTGTAAATTTGCCAACTTTTTAGATAACTTTTTGTGTTTACCTAGGGCATATCTAGGGGAGATTGGGGGGGTTTGGCTGAACCCCTGAATTAAAAAAAAAATGAGGCAATAACACGCTGATGGACTCAGAATGTCAGGAATCCCATTTTGGAGGGCCTCAATTGTTAAAAAATTTCCAGAGGAGGATGCCCCTGACACCCCTATAGACAAATAGTGGACTGTGGTCTGTATCTTGAACTCCTTCTCTAAAATCCTCTGTCCACCCTAGTTTATAATTATACTCACCACTCTTGAGGGAATCAAGTAAAAAGGCAAGGTTTTCAGCAAAAGAGCCCTGAAAAATAAATATAAAACAACTTTTCTTTTTTCTAAATGGTTGATTATTTCACTCTCAGATGGACCTTTTTCAGAGTTGAACTTATTTATTAAAATGATAGCAAATATACAAACAAATAATCAAGCGAATAAATACTTAAATAAATAAATAAATAAATAAATAAATGTCATGAAAAAATAAATTGAAAAGAGGGAAAAGCCATATCCTCTGACTGATGTAAGTTAGAGATATTTTTTGGTTAATTCATTGCTACTGATTCATTGTGAAAATTAATTAATGACAATTGATACTCACAAATACTTTGTCTCCTACTGTGTTTTCCAGCTGAAGTTGTCTTGTTATTTCTAATAAGGCTGACCGGTCGTCTGTTTGAGCCAGACCTGTCAATAACAATGAAAGAGTACTTCAGTCTGCAACTTTGAGCGAAGGTGTGGTGGCCTCATGGTTAGTGTGCTCATCCCGGATCGAGCAGTCTGGGTTCAAGCCCTGGCTGGGATCATTATGTTGTGTTTGTGGGCAAGACACTTTACTCTCACAGTGCCTCTCTCCACCCAGGTGTGTAAATGGGTACTAATGACCATAATGCTGGGGGTAACCCCGCGATGGACTAGCATCCCATCCAGGAGGGAGTTGAAATACCCCAATCACTTCATGCTACAGAATTCGGGATAAGCTCTGGTCTGATGGGCCACTTGGCTTGTATGCAGACTTAACCTTTTGTAATATTATAGTGATTGTATTGTAATTATATCTTAACCAAATAGCAGGTTGAAATCCTCATCGGCTATTAGAGTGCTCAATAGTTAGACTAGAGCAATAGAACAATAGAAGTAAAGAGCTGGATTAGTTAAACGTTGGTCCAAGACATTTACTTGCTACTCAGAGTTTCATGCTTCTTCTGAAGCAATCATCAGTTGCCTGATGATTGCTTAAGAAGAAGCTTCAGAAGAAGCATGAAACTCTGAGTAGCAAGTAAATGTCTTGGACCAACTAAACCAGCTTTTTTCTTCAGTTGTAATTTTATCACATACATTCTATTCTTATTTAGTATAAATCTACTAACATTCTATCATGAATGCCGATCTTATTGGCTATGCTACTCACTATCTATTCTGTGATGGACAGTGAGTAGTGTACCAATGTGCCCTTGTTCACAAAATCACAGCCCCTTTTTAGTGTTTTCAAAGTGTCTGTGAAAAGGATTAAGATTAAGTTTTGAATTACTAGTAGATTGATTTCTATTGCATGATGGTTGACTCCGGCCGTGCCCTTGTCAACTATCGCACAATAGAAATCTTGAGCTCATAATCTAATTGTTTAATATAAATTTTTTACAACCCATGAAGTCATAAAACACATAAAATTGTAGATAATATTTTCAATGTGTTGTCTTACAGTTATTTTATTTCTTTTTTTAACGATGAATCAAAGTGAAGGGAAGTCAAGAAGTGAATTATTTCATTATAATAATTTGCTTACCATTTAAATTCACTTCCAACATGTTTTGCCTCACTCCTTTTGTTTTAGATAATTCTTCAAGAATAGTTTTAACCAGCTGCAAGAGAACAAACTTGCAAACTAAGAAATTAAAAGCCACTTTAGTTGAAAACTTGAGGCAAACAGTGACTTTCTGAATGCAAACCAATGATCTTGGTATAAAATGTGATCATGGTGGTGTTCTGATAAAAACAAAAGGCTTCACTTCCTAGCTGATTTTGTTACTGTACTCTGAGGTTCACTACAAAGTTATCCTTGAGAGCTTTCCAAAATCATAGTTACATGTATTTCCTCATCTATTTTAACAATCAATCCTTTAAGGAAACTGAAAAGGTCTGTCTAGCCTATACTACATTTAAAAGGAGCTCAGTCACAGTGTTTTGTCTTTTTTTTTGGCGACGTACAAAATCTCCTTTAAATGGATGGAAACCTCAAAATAATAGTTTACTAAGAGAGAAAAACATCAAAGAGATAATAATAAACTATAAAGGAACAAGGATGGTCAAGGATGGCGAAGATTGTCACAGATTGCAAACGACGAATTTGAAAAAATTAGGCTAAACTTTTCAAATGTGCAACCGTGACTGAGCCCCTTTAAGTCAATTGACAAAAGAACCAATCACTCTGATCTGGGTATCCTTGGAAAGATCTTTGAATTAATGACCAGTGTTCATTCAAGTGAAATCTCATCTCCAAGTAATGGCCAATAAATCGTTCTTACATTTATTTAGAAATGAACATGAGATGTGTTTATTGAGTCACACTGGTTGGCTATATCACTGGTGGGGGTGGAGTCTTGGAAAAAAATCTCTTTCATGGGAAGCTATGGATATTATCTGGAACTACACATTTTACAGAACTATACTGAGACAAAAGGTAGCACAATTTGTTTGGTAACAAAAACATACCAGGGACTTTCCACTTCCTCTAGGACCAATTAACAACACAGAATTGCTTTCTCCATATTGCGCACATCTTTTGATAAGATCCAGCAACTCTCTGGTGATAAATATGGGTGACATTCATTAAAGGGTTTTCTTGGTTTCTTTAGGCTTAATTCGAATCAACAAATTTTTAGAAATGGATATCACTAAAAAAGTTAACCTTAAAAAACAACGACATTTCGACCACTCAACGGTCATTTTCAAGTTGAAAAGTAAAAGTTTTGCATGTGCCTAAGTCGAGTGGTGGAAACGTTGTTGCTTTTTAACGTTAACTTTTTTAGTGAAATCTTTAGACTTACTTTAAAAGTTTCATTGTACTGCTTTAATGACAAAATTTTGCATTTCTGTCTATGTATAACTGTTAGCTTGAACATATTCTGCTCATAAATTGGCCATATATGCCAGCGTATGACATTTGCAGACTGCAGGCTACATTGTATATTTAGGGCTCAAATAGCATTCTGGTTAGCCTGGATATCACTCAGGTTAGCCTGAATAATGCTCAGGTTAGCCTGTTTAGAGTTAGCTTTCAGTAATGTAAAACAGGAATGCAATATCATATAAAAAGTCTGCCGTCTGCAAATGTCAAACAAACATGACTTTTAGCACTTTTTGTAAGGGGCTGGACTTGAAATACAGTCTAACCTCCACCAATGGCCACCACTCTACCACGGCCGAACCTTCACAACAGCCACTTTTTCATGTCCCAGTGGATAAGGTCCATATATTTACTCTTACTTCAACCCCTCTACAATGGTCAGATCAAGCCACCTCTCCACAACAGCAACGGCCACTAAAATGAGTCCTACATGTAACTGCCAAAATAACATCCCGACCATGGCCAGTTTATCAACGACTGACAAATGGTATACATACAAACCCCATTTTTTTAATTGAAAAATGTCATGCAACTTGATCCGTTCCACTCGTGGTTGGTCTCTGTAACTTCTGTATGGTTTCTATTTTATTAACATATTTTCATTGCGTAACTATTTATATGCTGCAAATATGAGCATTTTAAAAATAAAGATGTTGCACTCCGAAAAAGAACAGGTGTGATATTACACCCCTACCTCCCCATAACGGTTACCTCTCTACAACAGCCACTTTCCTCTGTCCCCAAGGTGGCTGACCCCCTGTTGTGAAAAGGTTCGACTGATTAAGCTTAATTTTTTTTGAAATTTGGTTTATTCCTACCTTACATATATTCTTTCATGTTTCAGCACGAAAGCTCAAGATTGTATTCGATAATATATTCGTTTGCGTGTTTTTCATGCTCAGTGCGAACAGATTAAGAGCTAGTCGTAAGCTTTTTGTTTCTACATAGCACACAAACCTCTTCTGCTCGTCCAAACCATGGAGTTCCGCAGGAACGTCTCCACGAAAAATTCTCCCTCGCAGCACGCTTTGCACTTCACCAATTAATTGAGGATCGGGAGTACAAGTAGTCCTCTTGGACTGTAATTTCGATTTCTTCATTTATATGGCTGACCTGTTAAGAGAACATATCGCTACTTACACTCTTACGACGACCGACTTAAATCTTCCGCCATTTTTGACTGCGGACCATATCAGAGATAGCAACCCTCATTTGGGGTAAGCCGCTGACAAATGAGACTGTGCTACTACGGCTCGGGGCTAGAAGCGGGTTTCTGCGGAAGTGGAAAGAAGAGCTTCTTGAGCTGTAATTTTATGACGAACTGGTTGTAAAAAGGCGGTGAAATGTGTAGGAGAATAACAAAATTAGCTTTTGTGATTTAACTTTTTTTGCGGTTTTTGTGGTTACTTACTGGCTTAAGCCAGTCATACTACTATGTCACTGGGTGTGTAAGTGAGATATATATACCCTCTGTGACTTTTCGGAAACTTTCGGAGAAATCTCAGTGAGACAGAAATACCTCGAGATTTTTACTCGAGTTCTTTTAATCGAAGTTTCCAAAAAGTTACCGAGCATCAGCCGGATTAGTAGATGCATGTATGTAGAAGAGAGACCAGAAGTCACTGTAATTTGACTGAGGGAGGAGTAGTCAACGCGGAGATATGGAGTGATCTTCGAGGAGACTTAGTTATTAGTTGCTCCATCTTCGCAAAAAAAAAAAAAAAAAAAAAGACTTTATAACCGATGGCTGGCCCCAGTTGTTCAAAGAGGGTGGATAACGCTATCCACTGTATAAATCGCTATCCAGTGGGTACGTGTTGGCAAAGCAAACTACACTATCCAGTACCCACCGGATAGTGATTGATTTATTCGGTGGATAGTGATCCACCCTTGGAACAATTGTGGCTTGGTACCCCTCTCAACCTGGGAGAGGACAGTTTCTTGACTCCCCCAATAACCGATGACCAAAACTAATAAGTCAAAAAACTCTCCTTCAAGCTGTTGTACTGGACAATTTTTCGCGGACACCCCGGCCTTGGGACAATGAGAATACAGAGAATAGTCCTGTTAATTCTTAGAAGTTTATTTATTTATTTATTTATTTTTTTTGGGGGGGAGGCGTGGTCGGCCAACAATTAGCTAGTCTCCTTCGTAGCTGCTCGCGCTCGGGCAAAGTCACGCATCGCTCCCCTTCCCGTGGGGACAGAAAGCTTTGCGTGACTTCGTCCCGAGCAGAGGTTTCCTCGACGATCCTTTAACCGTAATACTATCCTCGTCATTGGTCACAAAGGGGTTTTGATAACAACGTACAAGCGCATTTGTCTTGAGAAATTTAGCCTGAAAGCCTGGGCTGGAAGTGAATGGGCATTGAATAGAAGATGTTGAAATCCTATGTGCAAAGAAGTTACGGGAAACAGGAGTGTTAAATTCATGTGTCTTCCCAAGATTACATAAGTGCTTTAAAAATTCGCTTATAGGAAAGAAAACAGAGTTTTAGAAGCTTTGCAAAATATGTTTTAGGAGTTTTGAAAAACAAGTCCATTTAAAATCCCCAGGCATTATTGTTAGTCTCATCGGAAGCTATCACGCGCGCATGTGGTCACTCTGCAACAACTGTCACGCATTCTCGTCGAACATTGCTCAGTATTTTTGCAAGGATGTTTTTTTTTATTCTTGCTTGGCAAGTAAAAATATCGGAAAACGTTTGAAATGTGTTTTATATATTTAATTTTAAGGTTACCTCCATGAATAACGTACCTTTATCCTTTGTCTTCGGCCAGGCCGAAATGCGCAGTGGGATTAGAGAGATCAAAGGACCCCAGTATTGAGAAGAGAAAAGACAGTCTAGTCTGATCTGGCGTCTCAGATACAATAGAGGCGGTGTCAGTTTGCAGGGTCTCGAATGTCTCTGATCACCCGTCAGCCAAAAGCTTGACTGCCAACCGCGCCTCAAGCTACTGGCGGCCGCTTCCACCAAATTCGTCTTGTAGCTGCTTGTGTTAGGTCTCTTTGATTGGTGTGTGGTGCTAGGAAGCATTCTGCGCCAGCAAAGACCGCCTCAGAGCGATTTTCTGCCAAGATGTTTACCTCCGCCGCGGTTAGGACGCTTCTAATTGCAGTCTCATTATTTATTCTCGTAGAAGGACAAGGTAAGTGATAACGTGGCATGCTGGAATGCGTTCCTCTACTTACCTGAAGCGCATTATATCTTAGTTTTTATGTGTTTTGGTACACGATTTATGTTTTGCCTTGGATCTGATTAAGCATTGGTGGTATGTGGCAGCTTAGAATCGTATATTTATGTTGCAATTTTGCTCTGGGTTACAATTATTGCATGCTATCGGTACGCGTTTCTCCCTCACACAAGGGCTTTTTCATGATCGCTGAGCGGAGATCACGTATACTTCATGGCCTGGTCTGGGGTAATTTTCGTGTTTTCTCCCCAGCTGTCTTCAAAATTATGTCCGATTCGTGCTACGAAAAATAAAATTAAGCAGAAGCGTTTTATGTTTTTGAGGCAGCAGATCCTCGCATTTACAACAAAGACTCGATTTTAGTGCATGTTCCGGGCGTATTGACGTAACATGCAGTGCGGTGGTGTAGATTCTTTGGGTTTAACAAGATATTTCTTTTAAAACTCATCGGTCATAGTGGAAAAACATCACCAAAAATCACCGTTAGGCTTGCTTGCCAGGTAGTTGTGTAGATCGATTGCCTTTCCTAGCAAATAATGAGGGCTTTTTTTTGTTGTCTTCTACGTCTGCGGTTGCTCTGCAGGGAATTTTAGCTCGGATGTTCTCCAATCAAATCACACTATGGAGAAGCATTTTGTAAAAGTGAAAATAAAGCACTTCTTTGCTCGTGTTATGTATGCGAGTGTTATTTCGGGTGAAAAGCTGTGGCAATTCTCCCATTAGCGCTTGCATTACCCGATGCCGACAAAGAGCTTTTGTTTGCGGACAGTACAGATGATTGCGATCTGTATTTTGTTGATAAGTTCACGAATCTTTGCAGGAATAGCGGCCTGTAAGCTGTTTTCAAAGATTAGTTCTAAAAATTTAAAAAATTATTATGTTCTCCCAGTGATCATATACGTATTTTGAAGATATTTCATAAAGAAACAAAAATGCGCAAAATGATTACAAAAACATAATTGTGTCCAAAATCTTGTTCAAATCTAGGCGTAAGAAGTAGCCTTAAGCCAGTGCACCTTGTTTTTGATATTCAGCAATGTGTCTTTGAGAATTTTGCATGAAAAGTACAAAAGATATTTGTGTGATTTCTTTCGTGATCATGAAGGATAATTTGAGGTCTGGGCGAAATTCAATATCTCTGCAACTTCGCGTGGAATTTGACACAAAGGGGTATAGGGTGATCACTATCCAATTGCGTCACGCAAAGATTTTAGACTTTTAGAGGAAATTAAACATGTTTGTGAAAAGCTTGAAAATTACTCGATGGAAAATACCCGCTTTTATTCGTGCAGCAACAACAACTCAACCTGATTTCTTGGAAAATGAAGCGATTGTGCTTGAAAAACATGCGAAGTTCGAAGTCACGACAGACACTTTCAATGGCACTTCTGCAAGCATTTGACCTCATATTTCGTTACCTAATAAACAAAGGCGATTGAGAGATATTGATATGAAGCAAACCTTTATGTTTAGTTGTGATGAAGGCATTCAACAATAATTTGGTTTTTATGTTCTATGCATGTGGGATGTTAACACAGACAATAAAAAGGGAAAAACCGGAGAATTCTCCATGTACTACTTGGGTTTTGTCATGATTTGAAAACGAATTTTAATAAACGGGTGTACAAGCAATATTATGAGAAACTGATTATGATCCCCCCGTAATTTTCTGAAAGTAGAGCGTGGGATAGCGCGCCGTGGGAAGTCTGGGAACAAGGCTAGTAGAAGGCGCGCAATTTTTCCTTTCGCTCTGTGAAAATTCTTCAATTCCTCTGAGAAGACACAGATGTTTCTCGAGATTTGACAGGCTTGGAGAGGTCATGAAGATTTTCCAAAGCGCAGGAAACAGCTAATAACTCAGGTAAGCATACTGTTCTAACAAACGATAGTTAGACCCGCTTAAAAGTTTGAATTGAGTCTCATTCAGTCGCCATTGCTTTAGGTCATCTTCATGCCTTCACACTCCTTCCTACTTTAAATCTTTTACTGCACTGCAAGCTCACCTGTAATACGATTGTAACGCTTGTTGCATTCTCTTCCACGGTTATGCGTAATTGTGAATTGTGATCCATTGTGGTAACTTGTTCCAAATAAACAGCTGTTTCGATCAGCTGAATCAACCAATTAAGGAGTTCGGAGCAACTTCAGAATACCCGGCCACTTTATTTACATGTGCCGGTGTGCTTTCAAGAACGAGGTATATAACAATAGTTGCTATTCTTATTCAATGAGGTGCTAATAAGTGGCCGGGTATTCTGGAGTTTAGCTAGGAGTTCTTCGCAAACTAATTTGGAAGAAGGAAGACGCTACACCCTTATTGGTTACTTAATTATAGCAGAAGCATGTCACCTAATTATGGAGGGTCCCGTGGAATGTACTAACAAGTTACGCTTATCTGTATCATTTTGAATTGTGCCTTCAACGTAACATTAACTGAACTTATAAGAGTTTTGTCCGAGGCATTGTTTACAAAATGTAATGTAACTTTATTAAAACTGCTGTTTTTTTTCGTTTTGCTAGAAGATACTAATCCCGCAACTCTTCTTTTTTTGGTTCGTCCGTGTGAAAAATTCTGCTTAATGATTTGTTGGTAATGCCTATCTATCTAGCAATGTTCCCAGGCTTAATGGTAAACTGGTAGTAGCTAAAATAAATCACTGAATAGAGAGAAGTAATTGCTGCTTGGCTCACTTAGGACACCATGATCTCATTACTTCTACTTTTACTTTGTACACACTGTGTTGAATTTTTCCAGAAAATATGCATACCCCCATGGTTTGAACCCCCCCCCCCCCAATCCCCTCAGTTTTGGTTCCTATATTCCAGTAAAAATTTTGACGTTTGACACCCTCACTGCTCCTTATTGGAATTCCAATAACCACCCCTGGGGTGGATATGGATATTTTCTGGAACCACACATTTCACTAAATGATAAGTTTACAGGATGTGAATTTGAAAGGGAGATGTAGGATTATGGAAAATTAATTCCTTGGCTTACAGAACAATGCAAGGTACATTACAGTACATGGGCAAATTAAATTTCTTCAATCCTGTATCTCGGGAAAGTCTGTTCAGATATTTTTTAACTCCAAAAAAAGTGAAAAGATGGATGTAATCTGTAGGTTCCACAATCCTCCTCTCTGCCGCTAGATATACTTGTGCTCAGAGATCTCAAATTCAACTACTCCAGGTCTTGTAACTAGTCAACCTGCAACCACTTAGGATTTTTAACACGTTTTCAGTTCTATTTACAACGACTGAATCTGGATCTACTGTCTCCCTAATTAGCACAGCAGTCCTTAGTACCTTACGTATCATTTTATAGGATAATTTTAATTAGCGTTTATATCTAGTGAAAGGAGACGGAGAGGTTCTTGGGGTTTTATTATGCGAAACAGTCATGTTGAGCTTGAAATCAATTACAAAAGTAATCAACTTGTAGTTTCTCCTTAAAATATCAGGCATGTTTGTAAACATGCAGATGACGAGAATATAGCAGTTTGTTGTGTGGGACTAAAAGTTTAAATATCACAAAATACTCGGGATTGACCAATTTCGATCAGTATCTTGAGACCAAAGCAACACATCTACTAGTTTCTATATATAACAGAGGGAAAAATTAGGAGCCATATAATAATTATACTCATCTACACTTCTTCGGGGATCTTGTTTCACTATTTGTAATCATTTCTCATACTCTTGGCTTTCATACTTGTATGATCACTATATATTCTATGTTTCTGTTGACTTGGTTGAATAAATGTGCCTAAATTTGTATTTTTATTTGATATTCTACTTAAGGCTATGCTATTATTATTGACTAACTATTGTCAACTGTCTTTTTTTGCCAGGAAATAGCTACTGTCCAATTACAAAAAGTATCACATGTTCGTCTTTGCCAAATGACAATGAGTGTTTATTGGATCGCGACTGCCAGGCTGTTCCTAATCGTCCTACGCCTCTCTGCTGTTACAACGGATGTAGTTACTATTGTTTCACTGATTACAGTAAGTCGTCAAATGATTGTATAAGGCTTCTAAAAGCTCTCCAGCACAAAATAAAGGTATGGCTTGTTTCTCCCTCGATGAACAGGAATTCTGTGTAACCATGGTCTGTAATGTTCCAAAGGTTTCGGTTTTCTGTATGGCACAGTTACAAGTTCTTTTATTTTTCTAAGCTGCCACATACCTGCAAGTGCAATGATAATACAAGTATAGCCTTAGTGGACCCAATTTTATTGAGCAGATTGCTTTCGTTTAGCTAAATTATTAACTGTGTTATTTTGCTTCGAATTAGATCCACTGCCGACATATCCCCCAAAGGTGAGTGGAACCTCAATCAACACATCTTTGTGTGTTATTAGTAGAAAGCTGTTTTTTTGAGTGACTGTCAAAAATATAACCAAATTAATACCAAAATCAGTCATCTAGCCTGGACAAAAATTGTTTATTAAACAAATCAGCTGGCTGACAGAAGATATTTTAAGTGTTGTGTGTGAGAGAGGATTTGTGTAAGTGAGCAGTACTGTAGTCCACATTTGCAGTGTACTCTATTTTCTTGAAATAGCACTGTGCTTATTAAATTGAAAAAGTATGTTTTGATGTAGTGGCAGTTAAAGAGGATCCACTGGTAGTCCTTATTTGAATACAGTATTAAGTTTCCTAGTACATTGCATAACCAATAAATTTGTTATTAGNATAATAATGTGGAGATAATAATAAGATGCTACTTTAGTTCGTGGTCCTGTAGAGAAGCCAGGGGGGGGGGAGGGGGGGCTGGTTCCAGGAAGACCAGAAAAGGTGACAAATTGACAAGGTTGAGGATTCAGTCATTAGTGGTGTATAAGCTTCAATAGAAGATAGTCAGGTGCTACGTTAGTTCCTGGTCATGTAGGGAGGCCAGGAAAAGCTGGTTCTGGAGAGACCAAAGTGAGACACGACCACCTGCCATGCGAGGAAACTAGGTTATCAACCACAAACTGAGAGGTTCAAGGTTCAGTGCAGCAGTGTAGAGGGTGTAATGAGTTAGGCACTACTGTGCATCGTTTGCAGTTGTAGTTGTTAGTTACTGACTGACTTAGTGGTTATTGCAACATTAGATTTAGGGCAGACAGAATTAAAACCATGTTTAAATAAAGTTAATTCTTGTACACTATCCTGTCCTACTCTTGGTGCAACTGCCCAGCTAGCTCAGCTTGGTTGCTAGTTAGTGGTTATTACAACATAAGATTTATGGCCGAAGGAATTTAAACCATGTTTAAATAAAGTTAATTCTTGTGCCCTATCCTGTCCTGCTCTTGGTGCCACTGCTCAGCCAGCTCAGCTTGGAAACACAGTTGATTATATAGAGGTTAATCATGATTGTTTGCTCGTGTTCAGGGACGGCGTGGATTGGATGGTACTCCAGGAAGACCAGGAGAACCAGGAGTTCAGGTATGGACTAACAGTCGTGATATATGTGGGTTATTGACTAAGCGTGAGGTCAAGATGGCTGGATATTGGCCAAGTTCGTTTTTTTGCGTGTTCATGGACCTAGACGGAGTCAAGGTCCATAAACACGCAATAAAAGGAACGAAAAGAAATTCCCAAGTTCTAACAGGTATTGAAGTAATGACTCTCCGCACTCCAATTGAATGCATAAACGTTGACCTAGACGAGACGCACTCAAAAATAATAAGACACAGAGGAACTTGGCCAGGAAAAACTGAAGAAGAGAGTCTAACCATATTTAAGCTGGGCCATATTGGTTTAAGTATGGCAAACTGCCAGCATACAAAATATACTGCATCAATAATTTTTATCAATGAGTGACGATGCATGTAAACAAAATTGATCGTTCATTGTTGTTGTTTCTGTTTGTTTGTTGTTGTTGCTAGGGCCCGCCAGGACCCAGAGGTCAAAAAGGAGAAGTTGGACCTGCCGGAGAGAAAGGAGACAAGGGCTGGACTGGTAGACCTGGATTACAGGGACCCCAGGGTCCACAGGTATACCAATATTCATCTGCTTACACATGGTACTGCTCTTAGCTCTTTTCAGAGAATAGGCAATGAACAAAGTAGAGCCGTAGCTGGTAACGGAGTCATTTTTTTTTGTTTTTTGTTTTTTTATAGTCATCATAAAAACCCAATCTATCTAGGGAGAGCATTTAACCAATGACATTGCCTCAGTCATGATTTTGTTCTGGCTGCGATCCTGCAAGGTACCTCTATTGAAGCTGGTTAGGGATAGCACCAACAGCGTACCCCGGTTTTATATATTGTCCTGTTAATCTCATCGTCCATAATTCGTCCCCTTGTCCCTGTCGGTCTCACCCTTAATTGTGTGCACACTACGCAGTCTAAAAGTGGTCATTGCTTTAGCCACTGAAATGTTTAATGTTGCCATGATTGTGAGTTAAATACCAGCAGTGTGGCTTGTAGCAGACTTACTTTCACCTTAATTTTCCAATGCTCGCTTCTCACTTCTACATTATATTAATACAGTCAAACGTCTGTTAATTGGCCAACACCCATTTTCCGGAGGGTGGTTCTCTCCTTCGCAGCCGTTATTAGGGTCGTCACGTAACGCTTCTCCCCACTAGCTTAGCGGGGAGAAGCGTTGCGTGACGACCCTAATAACGGCTGTAAAGTAGACTAGGAGGGTGGCCGCCTAACAGGGGTTGGACTGTAACGATGATGCATTACTTGCAAAAAAATTCGGACGATTTTAATTTGAGACAACAGTGTCCGAAAATAAAACAGTCCGAAATATTTACACTGCATTATTTAGTTTTTAATTCCGTTAGTTTCCTTTATGGAGCGAACTCTCTTTAAGACACTGCTGGAGATACGTAACGGCTTAATAGAATTTTCCTTATTTTTCCGTCGATTTATGTGTAAAACCTTGAGGGTGTAGTAAAACTATCATTTTCACCTATTTTGTTTCAGTCTGAAACGTGTTTTGTAGGCGTTCATTTGCTGTAGCTGTGTTTCAGCAAATTGTCGGAAATGTTTGTCCAAAATTTGTCGGAAGTGAGAGAAAGTGTCCGAAAATAAAACGTGCGAAATTTTAACGTCCAAGATTTTTCGCAAGTAATGTAAATTGACTCATGATAATGACTATGACGGATTTGTTTTCACCTAGGGTGACAAGGGTCCCCCCGGAACAGACGGAGTGGACGGCCCTCCTGGACTTAGAGTGAGTACTTGGCGGCGATGATGCTCTGATTGCATTGCTGGTTGCTCAAGAGGGCATCGACAGTATTATGCTCTTCACTCGATTGAAAATCTTCACATAAACTGTTGTAACCTTGTTGAAAAAGGTCATATGGAGCAGTGAGAGCACTGGAAGTTAACATTGCACTCTTAAGACCTTTTTGCATGTCACATTTTCTTGGCTAAATCTGCTTGAGCGGTCTGTCAGGCCCGCCCTTCTTGTGCCTTTTGTAGACCCTTCTACAAGCTCTTAGTTGTCCAGTGATCCGTTATTCTAGGAAGACGAGTTTTGTTTTGACTTTCAAGACACAAGGGAAATCATCTGAGAAAGACATATATTGCTACTGTATACTCTCATTCCTTTCATAATTATTTATTGGTGATAGCGCCAGAGTTCTGCCAATTATTCTGATTTGTCTTTTGTTTACTCCATAGGGACCCCCAGGAGCCTCAGGGGACCCAGGCGCCCCAGGCAGAAATGGCTCCACGGTAAGGCAGCTTAGTCTGAGTTCTTACATCCACTATTATTGTTGGTCTGGGATGAAACTTCTTTTCCTTTTGCCGTAAAATGAGTCCCCGTCCACATTACCCCGGAGGAATTTGAAAAAGGAGGTTTCACTATGAAAACACATGAAATGTTTTCCGTCCACACTACACCGAAGGCATTTAAAAACGCGTCAATCACCGGCCATTTTGGATTTGTGTTTGGAAAAAAAAAAAGTCGGGCAGGGAAATCACCTTGTTTTCGTGACGTCATCGTTTTCAAAAAGCTCCGTTTTCAAAAAGTGTTTTCTGTCCACGCCAAAACGAAAAGCCGGCGTTTTCAAATTCTTCCGGTTTGAAGAGCGTTTTCGAAAAGCTCCGTTTTCGTGACGGATTAGTGTGGACGATAGGCCTAACCGTAGAAGTAAAGCTGCGTTTTCAAATTCTCCTGGCGTAGTGTGGATGGGGCCAGAATCAGAGAAATGCCCTGCACCAGTACTTTGTGTCAGCAGCTGCACTACTCCACCAAGCCAGCTACCCAGGCGAAGTCTTCGGTGGAATAGTGTATTATTCTACCGCGTGTATTGTTATCCATGATGTGGTTATAAGTTATGGGGAATGGCTCTGGCCTGGAACAAGCCTAACACCAGGCGAAAATAGAAGCGGACGGCTAGAACAAACCCGACTTACTCGTTGGGTGGGAGGGTGGGTCGCCAACCTCTTCGCTTTCGTGGCCTTGAGTAGCATAATCCCCATGGTATTAATTACCCATGCAAATTGAGTTTGCATAGAGCATACAATTCAGGCGAGTTGTAACACTTACATTAGTATCACATCACAATAACTGGAGTTCAGCACTGGCTTAAATGGGGCACTAGCAGGCTTGTGTTTTGTTTCCCTTGTGTGTTCCTGAACAGTTGTTGTGTCTACTTTACTTAATCCAGAACATTTCTCTTCTAGGGTGAGCCTGGAAACAAAGGACCTGACGGAGATCCCGTATGTATTATTCTTGGATTATTAAATATCGGAAATTTGCCAAGAAGTTGTTAATTTGTTGTCGCAGAGTAATCAAAAACAAGTGCTGGTGATTCAGCATGCGACACTGCAATATCTTTAACTCAATTTTTTTCAGTTTAGGAATAGGCTTGTAGCATTTTACGAGGCACGCATCTTGGTGTTGCCCCACTGGTATTCTACGGAAGTTGGATACGTTTTCTTTTCTAATAGTGTAATACCACTCACCAGAATCTGTCAAACGTGCATCTAATGCGAGTTGGAATATTTCAAGTTTAGCGAGCCAGATTTCTGCAATGGGTTCTGACAGCTTTCATTTCACATCAGTGTGCAGTGGAGTGTGTGTTTCCTAAGAATGTTTTATAGTTTTGAGTTAAGTTTAAGCATGTTAGGTCTTTGAGATATTTGAAGTGATACAGGGTTGCCACAGTTCAGGAAACGGTCAAGGAAAAATTTCTTTCAGGGTCAGGGAAAAGTTGGGGAATTCATGAGTCAGTGAAAATTGACATTTCACAAGTCAGGGAAATATGAATTTAGCACGGCTGATTTAATACCATTGAAGGCTGGAAGAAACATTTGGGGTAACTGTGATCTCAACGATATTTATTGAAAACTTATCAGTCTTATTGAACGAGTAGAAAGGATGGCTGTAAGTTCACCCCAGAAGCCGCAACTAGATCTGACATTTTGTATTTATTTGGTCTGGGAAATTTGATTTTTATCACGGAAAAGTCAGGGAATTTTGATAAGTGATGTCTGTGGCAACCATGTGATAGAACTCATATAAGGTTGCCCATTGCTTGTTTAATTATTTTGTATCAACTTTCACTGTTTACATTGTTTTTATTTGTTGACAGGGTAACGCAGGACCACAGGTAATTAATATTTTACTAAGAGACTACAAGCCAGAGCTCAACTGTTTTAGCACACACTGAAAGTTTTTCTTTGGAATAATTCGGATCAGGACAAACCGTGTTTTGATCCTGGATTCAAACAACGTAAGTTTGGTCTTGAATCAATGAGGGCACGTTTCTTTCGTGATCACTTGGATTACGGTGCATCAAAGGAACCGATGAATCTTTACCCAGCGTGGATTTATCGGTTGCTTTAATGCACCATGATCCGAGTGATCTTAGATCACTCATCCTGTCAATATCAACGCACACGCAATCGTGTTATATCGGCGAATAGACGACTGTGAGAGAATCAATCCAAATCGCAGATTTTCTGAATTTCTCTGATTAGAATTCTTCATTTAGGGTCTACAGTGTCAAATTTATTTCCGTCAAATTGCTCTTGAAATTTACAAATTATTCCTATTTTGGAACAGAACAAGTATTGCTTATTTTCGTGGTTTTAAAACATCAACTCAGTCTTATTTACTTACCTGTTTGCTCTTTATTTTCTATAGGGCCCTGATGGATACAAAGTAAGTATTTTATTGCTGTTTTACTATGGTATTGTTTGTCGAATTGGAATTTGTAGTGTTGGGTTTTTGTGGTGGTAGGAAAACCGGAAAACCCAGAGAAAAACCCTCGGAGCAAAGCGGCACCTGGTGGGAGGCGAGCGCTCTCACCACTGTGCCATCCTTGCTCCCCTGCTTTTGACTCTCTCTTTATAATATGTACCCACTCTGAGATGTAACTCAATTTTTAGCGTACTCAATCCATTGCTCCTAATCTAGATCACTGCCCTTTCTAATTGACGCCCCTCTGAAGTTGTTTTCGTGAATGGCCTGTTGTAGGTAATCTTGAGTTTATTAGTGGCAGGATTGTCACAGCAGAATGTTTTTTTTTTCCTTTTTTGATTTATTGTCTCAGCTGGTAAGGTCATCTGTACATGTGTGGTTGCATGGAATGCTCATTATGCTAACCTTGAATGTTCATGGAACAACAAGTCCGTGCCTCAACGTTCTTGATTACGAGTTGAGAGGCGGCGGGAGGGGGGGATTAGCATCAAAACGCCGTGTCTGTAATGACGAAGTTTTTTTGTTTTAGTTCTAATTATTGTTAATCATTTGATTTCAAGGGACCTCCTGGACCACCCGGACCTCCTGGACCCCCGGTAAGTGACACACTTTAAAGTTGTAGATCACACTAGCTGTGGCAATAATTAGGGGGAGGGGGGTGGGGCCTTTAACCTACAGTTCTTTATTAACTTATTTCATACAAACTTGTTTCTCCGCTTGTGCCCACGTCGGCATGTTCTAGAGTTAGTTAACAACTCTATTGTAGTGAACCATTTTCACATCACTTAATATTCTTTCCGTGAGAACCTTGAGCTTCTCATTTTCTGGGCCCGTATCTGTAATTGCAGCAACAGGGGTTAACACCCTTTACCATGGCTGCCTTTAAACGGATTCTGTGCCTCTATGGTTACCCTTAGCATTCTAGTTTGCCCTGCTTTTTAGGTGCTGATCTCTGTAGTTCTTTATACATTCATGTCACACACTTTTCTGTTTGCCTGAACGTTCTGTTCCTTAGCATGCTTTAGAGTTGTCTGAATGTGTGAAGATTAAAAGACTAATATTTGTCCAAAGGAATACCTGATGCAAATAAACTTGAAAGACCTAAAATGACGATGCTGGTCTTGTGTTTGTTTCAGGGTGAGCCTGGCATGTCTGAGATTGCTGGTGTAAGTCATAACTTTTCATGTTTTTAGTCTTTAAAACTTGCAGCCATCTACGGCGAGTTGTGATGTGACTATCGTTTTTCAGAATTATTTATCTTTTTTAAAACGTTTTGATGACATGTCTATGCTGATTGTGCTTAATAACTAATAAACCGTTAAAAACTGCAAGTGTATGGTCAAATTTCTACTATAAATAATATATTAATAATTATCATTTAAAATTACAATTATGAGATGTCTTATTAATAATTGGTAATTACAGATCATTAATTTTTGGATTAATTGCTTTAGAATATTAATTAATCGGGACATTTAGCTAACAGACACTTTCTTCGGTTTAGTATTTGACCACTGGAAACATTGAGAAAGGCCCCGGATTCCGGCTGTACTCAAGCAGTGGAAAGGTAAGGGAGTAGCAACGGCTGAAAAAAAACTGGAAGCTCTTTCAATTTACTACAAAGAGGAGTTGTAACGCTTATCAGTAGAATTCTACTCGTATACTAATGTAAATGCGAATTCGAAATTCGAATTCGAAATTGATTGTGTTGACGCCATGTCTATCATTGTTGGTTCTGTTTGGAAGCCGGAGAAGCAATTCATATTTGTAAGGTTCTGACCTATTGAGGAAGGGAGAGAAATCTGAATTCTATACGACATGCATTGTTGAAGTCCCATGTTTTTTATTACAAATGGTATTTAAGTCATAGTTAATAGAGGGAACTGGTGAGGAAACCTGGCAAAGTTCTTTGTAGTATGTTTTTGTCGGCTATTTTAATTGAGGGTTGACCCTGCACAAAAACCTGGCAAAATACAAAAGGTGGTTATGTGTGCTCATACAACTAACCAATAGAAGCATTCATGCATACTCTATGAGCAGAGCATAAAACAGAAGATGTTCAGAGTGAAGGACCTTTCGACATAAATCTTAGCCTGTTTGTTTGCTTCTTTGATGTTTACCGGCCTTCCTAACCATTGTTTAAGTCAAGTGTAAAGAATTGACAAAAAAGCTCCAAGTCTGTTAAATACTTTTACGTTGTCGTTGTTGCAGGAAATGAAAACTCGAGAAATAAAGGTAAGGATTGATCTGGACCAGCCTGTGTAACCACTTGAACTATTTCTCCCTCCTTACAAAACATAACAAAATGGAATCCTTCAGAAGTGAGGTTTGCTACCTACAAATAACGGCATTATCAAGTTTGAAGAAAAACCAGGTTCATGATTCAGTTGAATGGCAATACAGTCCATTAAAGGAGTTCAGTCACGGGGTTTTGAGTTATTTTGGTCACCTACAGAATTACCTTTAAATTAAAGAAAACCTGAAAATAATAGTTAACTTAAGATCGAAAAACACCAAAGAGATTCGCGGTATATTCAAACTGAAAATAGATCGGTCTGTGAAAACGCCGTGACAGGAATATGGGGTAGTTGCAGGCTCCTGTTGACGGGCTCCTGACTGCGTGCGGGCGCATACTAGTTTTTTGATATGCATTCTTTGTCAGAACCCTTGTGTTCTTTACAGGGCTTAACGGCTAACATAGTTTGTGTTGTTTCAGCCCGAAGACGTACTAAAAGGTTTAGACGAGAGAAGCCAAGACATCGAATCTCTAATTAGACCTGACGGGACGAAGAAATTCCCTGCCAAAACGTGTTACGATCTGTTCCTTGATCACAAAACCTTTAAGAGTGGTGAGTGATTACTTTACGATTCTATATCTTAATCGTATCTATAAGAAAATTCTCGATCGTGATTGGTTCTCCGCGGGTAATCAGTGCGTGATCACGTGGGTGTCCAATTACAGGTATCCAATTTCGACTTCTTGTGACTGGATACCTGTAATTGGATACGTTCGCCATTCGCACGTCAATTACGTGAGCTTAAATGACTCCTATGTTCGATGCAGTTTTTACAACTTAAGGAAAATACTACTCACTTTCCCGCTCAAAAGAAGTTCTCGAAAGACATTTTTTTTTTAATCTCGATATTTGTTATTGATACGTTTAATTAGGAATTGGACCTCATTACAATTCGGGGAGAAATCGTGCAAAAACGACACGAGACCGTGAAATCTTGCGCGTTTTAATTCCGGACAGTTAAGACCTTTTCACGGTTTCTGACCTCATCTTATTTGGGG